TAGTTGCAGGCATACTCGATTCCAATGTTTTCACGCCGACTGTCGCACATGGATCCTCGCCTGGCTTGTCCGAGTTGTGAGAGTGTAACCCCTAAACCCCCGAATGTCCGAACAGAAGAGGCGATTTGCCCCGAGCTGACCCCGCCTCAGGTCGGCAGGAGACGCAGGCTTTGCCGGAGAGAGTCTGTTTTTTGAGAAGAGTTACCTATATTACTATACGATTTATAGGGGTTCAGGGGTTAGGGTATAGGGGCCTCAATAGTTACCTATGCTATTTTGGGGGTTCCTTATTCTAATTAGTATAATGGGCCCCCAAATTCCTATTCTAATTGTTAAGGCCCCTACATTAGGGATCCTGCGTTGGTTTGGGCCACTTCCTTGCCAGGACAGAACGCGAGCAGCAGCCCCGAAAAGTAGTGAATCCCCAAACCCTGCAAACTCGAACCCGAAAAGCCCGCAATTACAAAACACTGAGTCATGGATCCTCTGGCAGCCCAAAAGCCGCCCTAAACCTTCCACTGTACATCCTACCTTAAGCCTTGATTAACTCGGAGTCCAACGCTTCGACCACAAGCCACCCCTGATCTAACGGTCTAACTCCGTACGGACAGGGCTCGGACTCCCCCCTTGGGCGCAGGAACTTGCTGGGCATTTGCTTGTGCTTCCTGGTCTTGAGCGCTTTTGATAAGCGGTTTCTGCCTGCAACGTTTTCTTGTGATACCTACTGGCTTCCCTGGAGGGAACCCCAAACCCTAAACCCTAAAAGCCCTAAACCCTAAACTTGCATTTGCGAGTGTGTGAGTCGAAACCCTAAACTTACCAGGCACTCCAGGCTGCCTATCGGCGCCAGGTCGAGGAAATGCAAGAGGCCGGGACCCAAACGCAAAGGCGGCTTCGGGCTTGCGGTTAAGACAAAGTTTAAGGGATGTGTAGGGCTTACTTCCGGGGCATGTTGCAACATATCTGCGGGGGCTTCATGGTACAGCTCTCGTACAACTCCGTTGCAGCTCCCTGTGTTACAGCCGTGGTACAGTTCCCCGTTGAAGCTCCCGATGCAGCTCGTTACAGCTCCCGTCACAGATGCCGTCACAGCTCTCGTTGCAGCTACCGTTAGAGCTCCGTCACAGCCCCGTTACAGCTCCCGTTGCAGTTTACAGATCCGTCCTGTGCCCGAGTGCCCAGGACGTACTGCTCGTAGTAGGGGCTCTCGAAACATGGATTGTGACATGGCAGGGAAGATCCCAATACCATAGTCACAGTGCTTGGCAACTTTTTACACCGACAGAGAACACGACTGTTTGCAACACGCTACTGGTATGCAATGGGGCCAGCATTTATAAGACAGCATGGACGACTGGGGCTTGACGTGCGATGTTGCTTGGCGGTTGGCTTAGCGAGTTCTGGGTAGAAACATGTAGAAAAACCCAATCCACCGAACCTATATGTACTGGCGGCATTCAGCAATACTGCGCAACATCAGCCGAGTCATCAAGAACAGTACTTGCTTCACACAAGCAGAAAGCCAACCGGCACTGCGCAGGTTGAGGCGTCGCTTTGGGCTGTGCGCTCCCGTCAGATCACCCAGACAGATTCATCTCCTGGCCTTGGCTGTAGAGTTCAAGTGTACTCAGAAGAATTACACAAGTTCGTTTCAGAAAGGGGTGAGCATTGACGCTCTACGTCAACACGTACATCCCCAAGTCCCTTTCTGCCTCACCTGCATCTCCCAAACCCTCAGCTTTTACACCCCAGAACTGTGCACGAAACTTTTGTCTCATCTCCCGTTTTCCTGGCCTGAACCGAGTTTAGTTGACCGTGTGCTGGTAACCCTGCGTGTCTACATTCGAGCACTTCGAGGCTCGTGTGGCTGGCTAGCCACCTTCTGTGTGAACGAAGAGATCGCGCGCAAGCCGAGAAGTGCACTGAAACCGTACAAACCAAATCTTCAATTCCTGGCACAAATCGAGAAGTCATACTCCTAAAGTTCTGGCCAGTGAATCCACTCGGGCAGTGTTTCTCTTTTGCATGAGGAGCCGTTTTGCAAAACTGGCCCTTCAGACACCGCCGGTCAGAGGATGAAGATGAAGATCTACAATGTTTATCTACTAGAGACATGTGCGGATGTCATCAATTGAGTTTGGAACGGACACCATGTATCAAACAGTGGTTTCCATGGACAGCACCACCGCCAAACACAGAAGTTGAGAATCCGTTCTCAAGGACTAGATGCTGCGTCACTGGAGCTGGAGGTGGGACGGGTTGCAGCTTTTGTTCTGGCTTGCCTCTTGAGAGCACGCTTGCGTGTGTGAGGGTGTGTACACCCATTTCATGCATGCGGATGCCCAACACGCAATGGCTGTCAAGAATGCAGGAAGCAGCTAGTGGTTGTTACAATTAGCTTGGTCTACTTGAAGCTTGTCGTAGCATACTATACTATTGGCTTCTTGCAGATAGCTCGTCATGAGCTCCGGAAGAAAACAGCAAAGTGGACCCGTCTGATACATGTTCTGTCGCCGAAAATTCTGAACTTCCGAGTTGACAGCGCCGTCCTTGGCACCCCCAGCAGGCAGCGTGGAATCCGGGTAGTTTTTGAGCCCTTCAAGTCATGGGCACTGATGCCAGCAAGATTTTTGTTGACTTCTTCCCGGGATGGCGGAGTGCCTGCTTGGTGCATTTTTCTTGGCGAAGGCCGACAATGCGACCAAAGCTGAGAGGACATCATCCGTGATGGAATTGGGCTCAGGCAGAACTACAAGGCCCAGGAGGGCCATAGCAGCGGTGGATTTGGGATCCTCACGTCAACCTAGCGGACGCTACGGTTGATTGAGGCACAGAATCGCTGCCCGTCGACGCCGACGCCGTGTGACTGCGACGGCATGAACCTCACGCCAGTCCCGGATGTCCACATGATCCACGATGCAGTGTTGCATCCTAGCATGACCAGAAATCTTTTTTGACCCCATGATTCTTGTCCCGCATGGTGGATCTCGCTGCAGAGCGCCCTTTCCTCAGGCCATGTTTTCTCCATGTCTTTTAATTAGCCCTGTGGCTCAGGGCCAGCGCCTTAGATATATAGTCGTAGCAATTTTAAGATCCTCTTTCAGAATGCCCGAAGCAGCTTGTGTCGTGCTTCTGGGTATATATGCTGAGTGTTGTGATGAGTGACGAGTGTCTTGATTCGCATCGTGATGTACCATTCTTTCAGTGAAGGCCACAAATGGAATGTTTCAAGGAGGAAGGCTACCAGATATCAGGCATCAGCGATCAGGAGTCAACCGGACGAAAGCGTTTGGGAGGCAAGCCTTGAATCAGCCAGTCCATTTAAACCGCTTCGCTGCATCGGCGGTGGTGGTTTATCTATGCAGGTTTTCGCACATGAGCCCGGCGAATCATGAACGCAGGTTAGCGTGAGGCTGGGAAGTTGTCAGCAACACCCCAGAAGCCTTCGTTGGCAGAATCGTGGGCAACCGTGGCTTGCTGACCCTTTAAATATCCCGATAATCCCTACGAAGCCAGCAAACAGCCTCGGCCCCCACAAACCCAACCAGCCCTCAGCACTGATGGAGACCTGCACTAGCGCATTCCTTGATGAGCGGTAGCAAATGAGTCCCTTCTAGATTTCCTTAAGTGTTCTTTGCTTTCCTCTGCCATTTTTCCCCGCAGCCTGGTTGCTAGATTTTTCCATCTAGGTCTAATGCCCATTGTCCCTCACATCCCCTCAAGCATTGTGATCGCCATTGACAGCCTTGACTGCATGTAGTCAACACGAGGAGGAGCAGGGCCACAACCTCCGGCTGGGTGTTTCCCTCAGCCTTCATGGTGCAGCTTGCGTTTACATGTTGACTTCCGGGATTGAACAGAGACGCCAAGAGCCAATAAAAGTAGAGAGGACTTTCTTGTGTTCTCTCGCGCGATCCGGTGGGCACATGCGTCTTCTTCTCTGGGAAGCCTTTTGAATCCGATCAGTCTCATTCGTCTGGAAGTGCTAAGCCATAGACCATCTAAACATCCTGTCTGCAAGTTACGGCGAGATCGGAAGTCTGACGTGATGTGCAGAACGGCGTATCGCAGAATCACTTTTTGCTGGCATTTGTACCATGCATTGACACCTTTGTCTACAAGCCTTAAGCTGTCGGAGAAGCTGCACGGTGCGCTCGCCTTGAAACTCTCTCTCAAAATAATTACGAAGAACCAAAGCCGTCATACCTTCCGATCCGGGCATACGCCTGCATCAAGAGCCCACCACAGCCCGAGATCCTTTCAGACCTTTTGTTTTAACCCAGCTGCAAGAAGCTGCTCCTGGCCACTTCAGGCGAGGTCATCGCTTCAGAGGCTTCCGATCCCTTTCTGCTTGACGGCTGGGGGGCATGCGATTCTTAAGCTGCCCCCCCCCTCCCCCCGGTGCCTCGAGGGTTGATCTTCGGCAGCGGGAGGCCGAACTGAAACAGTCGGTGCTAAGTTTGAAACCTTTGCTTGGGCAGTAACTTCAGGTTCGTATCTTTATCGGCAAGCGCACGAGGGTCGGTAACTTAAAGGAGGACTTGCTTCCCAGATTCTTCAGCATCTCTGTTTGCGTGGTTCTGGTATTCAGTGGCCATCCGGAAACCGCAGAACCTGGAAATCTTACACACTTGGCAACGAATGACGCCTATCCGTCCACGTCAACAAGCAACCCATAGAGAGGTCCTTATACCTTGCGTGGAGGTGGCGCGCAACCCCTTCCTACCAGTCGCACGCCCCCGATGATCGCAAGCGGGCTCGAAGCTGCCTTCAGCATTCCTTGCTTTCAGGGTTTCGGATTTATAGGGCCTAAACCGTGATGAAACCCTATAAGCCCTACTAAGGACCATAATATAAAACCCTACTAGAGCCCCTATGAACCATAACCCTACTAAGATCCCTACTTGGAGGTTCATGGGCAGTTATAAGTTGAATTATAAGTAGGGTAACTATACTTATAACCCATATTAGGGGACTTATAACTCCACTTATAACTACCCATGAACCTCCAAGTAAACCCAGGAAGGACTGAAACCATGCGCCTGGGGCTCCCGAGCCTCGGCCTCTCCTTGGCCGGCTGCGCGGCGGTTGCCCTGGCCTGGCTCCGACGCCAAAAGCGCCAGAGAGCTCTGGACATCGGGACGGTTGATAGGGATTAGGGTTTAGGGTTTAGGGTTAATTAGGGTTTAGGGTGTAGCGGGGGTAATGGGGAGTTGGGCTTTGGGGGGTTGGGGCTTGGGGGTTTCATAGGTTGAGATTTACAGTAGGGTTTAGGGAGATCCGTCGTTGCAGGCCACCTATAGTCTCCATTGTAGTTCCTTCTGGGGGATACCTTATAAAATCCTTAGTATATGTTTGGTTAAACCACAAAAAGGAACTACAATGGAGACTATATTATAGGCAGTTGCAAAAGGGAGATCAGGCTTTGGAGGTGCCGGGGCTTGAGGGATCTAGGGTTTGGGTGTTTGGGATGTGGGGATTTAGGGATTTCGGGGTTGATAGAGTCAGGGATGGAGGGGTTTCCGTTTTTTTCTGGAAATGGAGGCTGACAATGAAAGAGGCCTGGGGCCCCATGCCACATCAATTTCGACGCACCCTCACCCCATCCCCCAATCATGCCAGCGTAGATCCCCAACAATGAAGAATCACACACCAGGACCATGTACTCGTGACGTGTACCCCAAAGTTACCAGGACGACTGCAGGACCACCACGAAGATGCAAGTATCACCAACACACCTTAGAGCCTATATCGCAGACCTGTCCTAAACACTTGGCGAGATTTGTGCTTTACTTGGCAGTCCGTCTCTCACAGGACGGCGCAACTCCGGATTGCACATTGGTGACCGTGCCTGGTCTGTTAGGGACTCTTTTTTCAGCAGGCGCCACATTGCCGCATCGAGGACAGATGCTTGAGCTGGATAGCCAGATTAAGATATCGGAGTGTCTTCAATACTCAGACTCATGCCGTTTCTTGTTCAGATCGAGCACTGCACTTGCATCCTTGCATGCATACGGATTCAGGAGGTACGTATGCTAAATTAGAGTGCCCAGGAGGGAAGCATCAGAGCTGAAACCCTCCATTGTAGAGACCCTTTTTCCAGCAGCTCCGGGATTGCTGCGGTGAAGCAGAGCAGACCCTGAACCCTAAAACCCTCTAACTCCTAAACCCTCAAACCCTGCAACCCCGAAGCCCCAAACCATGAAGGCAAAACCGGAGTCAGATGAGACAGGCTCGCGGCCCGGTTCCCTAAACCATCCAAAAAATCCCGAACTCTCCCTGCGTTGCCAGGGCTCGTCCCAGCTGGGAGCCACAGAAAGCTGGTCCCAAACCCCAAGCCTTGAACCCTAAATTGTGGGAAAAGCCAACAAACAAAACAAACACTCAAGCAGTACTATAGGGGCCATACTTTTAATGAGGACCCCCCCCCCAAAAAAAAAAACAAATTATAGGTAACCATTGAGGCCCCGATATGAAGTCTCACCGATTCCAGGTGCTTCTTGGAGATTGGGGCCTCGGCCATTGGTTGGCCAGAAGATGTTACCCTGCCGACGTTTTTTGCAGTTAGTATAAGGGCCTTAAGAAGTAGAATAGTTGGGGTTTTGGGGGTTCCTTTTTAATATAGGGGCCATAAATCATTAGAATAGTTAAGTTTCCTTATTCTAATTGCAGTACAAGAGACCCCGAAACCCTATTCTAATTAATAAGGCCCCTACATAACTGTGTGCCGACACAGTTAGACGTGATTTCCACTGACCTCCGCATCACTGTCTTGGTAGTTCTCTAAAGTGGCGTCCCTGTCTAGGTCTCAACAATAGTATGGCACCCTTATAAACAGGACTTGAAACGGGACCCTAATTTAGAGAACCACCCATTTCTCTCGCTGGCTTCTGAAGAGCTCTTGCACTTCCACAACACGTGAGCGACTCGGGTTTGGGGTTCATAAGGGTCCCTAAACCCCATAACCTCGCCCAGGCAAGTCCGAGTGTGAGTGCTGAAACCCCAAAAGCAATAAAGCCTAAACCCGAAAAGTGCACAAGTCGAAACCCCAGACCATAGACTGTGGAATAAACGAGGCTGGCCGGTGGGTCTCAAGCTCCTGTCGCTTTGTGTCGACTTGGATGCTGTTGCCACAGAGATCCTTGGCGGCAGGGCTGTAGGGTTTAGGGATTAGGTTTTTAGGAATTCCTGGGCTAGACCAGACCAAGATTATAGTAGTTTTTTGGAACTCCTTGGCTACAGACCAAGATTATATTATATCATATTATATTAGTCTATTTACAGTCTCACTTTTCAGGCTGGAGGAGTGTCGAGGGTATCTGGGCTATTGTTTTGAGGATGTCGGAGTTCTGCTTTTGGCGGCCCTCTGCGGGACGAGTGGGTAGGACTCCACGCGCATGCGATAGGTTGTTGTGCTGCGACGACAAGCCCGCAGCAGGTTTTGGGCTTGGCTAACTAAGCTAAAACCTCGGAGTCGGGTCTAGGAAGAGTAGAGATAGAGCTGCCGCGTCTCAGGAATCGGTCTACAGCCCTCCACATCGCTGCGACTGAGGGGCACACGGCTGTGGTACAGGCCAGGTGGCGACTTTAGCATCCCAAGACCCTTGTTGCATCGTATCCATTTTGGAAATGTTCGCCCAAAGTCCTTGCAGAAGCATGCAGAAGCCACGTTATCTTAACCGCGTAATTAGACACGCCGCGTCCGGAGTTGCTTTCTTCCGTAAGAAGCTCGATCCGCCCAAATCCGTGATGTATCTTGAGCTCGAGCACTCTTGTTGTGCTTCCTGTCTCCTGTTGCCGAATCCATCCGTAATCCTATTGCCTTAGCAATGCTGGGCTTTAAGCAGCAGCGGCAGCGCTAAAATTGCAGAATCTCCACCCTGGGTTTTACATGAACCAGCTATTGCCGCAGATGCCAAACTAATATAGTCGACACAGAGCGTGCCCTTTTGCGTTCGGATCTAGTCGAAGACTATCCGTTTACACAGTCCTAGCCGTAGCAGATCCACTGTCCACTGTTGGGAATTGTTGGCAAGCCACAACATTTTCAACCGTACTACCACTCCCAGAAAACTTGGAGGCATTGGTGGTCCTTCGCTGCAACCCCGATGTTGGCACTGCACAGGGCCACACGGCATTGGCCATTGCCGTCGCCAGAGGCAGCGAATTTCCGGTTGAGGGGCTTAAACACGATCCGGGCATTTTGGAAAGCTGGAGTTTGCGCGGCTGCACAAGATACATGCTCGCTGCTTTGTTGCGGTTTCTTGCTGCCGATGGATGCCTTTGTCCGTCCTGACCCTGAACACTTCCCTTTCCGGCATGTAGTTAAACTGTCTAACCTCACAGGCCTCAGTATGCTTTCGTTGCGCTGGCTCGCCTGAAGATCCATCTCCGGCAATGTAACCCTGCACGAATGGAGAAGCATAGGCCACTTTGAAGCTCAGAGCTCACAGGGCATCGCGACATCGTCCGCACCTTGCTGGACGCGCAAGCACGGCCCTGTGTGAGCGACATGAAGAAGACGATGCTTGGCCCTGGTTGTGTTGCAGCGTAGATTGTGTAGATTTATGATACTTGCATCTGTCGCGGCTCAGGACACGCGTTTCAGCAATTTGCACTGGAAGCTTTTCATACCTGTTGCGTTAACGTGAAATCCTGTGCAGGGGTGCCCCTTGAGCAAGGCAAGCTTCTACTGTATTGCCACAGGAAGTCGGACTCGGTGAAAATGCCTGCCAATGCTCATGCTGGAAAACCAGGGCAGAAGAGGGAGCTTATGCTAAAATGAGCCCTCAATGCCCGAAGCCGAAGCACATCCAATAAGGTCTACGCAATCCGAACGGGTCCTCAGCAATCCTGAGTGCAAAGCCCCTAAACATCCCAATCAAGACACTGCATCGGCGCCCTGCACCTGCTAGACCAAAGCAGACGTCTCGTGACCTCCCTTTGACCAAGGACGCCGCTTCATCTCGCTGCAGAGCCTTTTCTTTCTTTAATTTGGAATCTGCATACTGCATACTGCGGCCAGTCGAAGGGCTTTCAACTGCTAGGGGCATCTTCAACATGAGTGGCAGTAGGAGGGGCGACTACGGGAGGCTTGTGCTGCCCCTTGAGGATGGCTTGGCTATGTAAACTATGTAAAACCAAAGGCCACTGGCGTCCAGCAGCTAGTATATGCCCTGAGGCCTGCACCTGGCAATGAGACATAGGTCTGGAACTAGGACAAAAAATGGCATAAACCTTTGCTTGGTCCTCAACGCTTACTGCCAAAATGGCCGAAGCCAACCGTTTGAAGACCAAAGGCTTTTGCTACACTCTCTTGCCTAGCTCCTGGCAGCAATGTGGTACATGGCAGATTGCTACCTTCAAAAGCTCCCCTCTTTCGTACCCACAAGAGCCAGGCCCAGCCACATTTCTGCATTGGTTTTGTCTGTGAAGCTGTACATTATCGTCCAAAAACTCATGCCTACATGCAGATGCATACGTGCTTGCATGCTTGCATGCATGCATTCACTAGTCGATTCACTGGTGCATTATTCGTCCTTTCGTTCATCTGTAATTTCAGGCATTGGTAGGTCTAGTCAATTAACTAATCAACTAATGAATCATTATTTCATGTTTCATTCGTTCATTCGTTGATTACTTCATTCAGGCGTTAAATCATTCATTCATTCATTCTGTCTTTCTTTCTTTCTTTCTTTCTGTCTTTCTTTCTTTCTTTCTTTCTTTCTTTCTTTCTTTCATTCTTTGATTAATTCATTCATTCACAAATTCATTTCACCACCGATTCCTTTCTTCCATTAACAACTAACCTGTGCATCCATCCATCCATCCGCTCATCGATTTGAAGTTATAGTCTGGAATATACATGCCTGCCTGCCTGCCTGTGTGCCCGTCTACCAACCTATGCACATACGTACCTACATGCTTGCCTACCACCAACCTGCCTACCTGCCTGCCTGCCTGCCTGCCTGCCTACCTACCTACCTACCTACCTACCTACCCTACCTACCTACCCACCTACCTACCTACCCACCTACCAACCAACCAACCAACCTACCTCCCTCCTACCTACCTACCTACCTACCTCCCTACCTACCTACCTACCTACCTACCTACCTACCTACCTACCTACCTACTTACATGCCCACATACGCACGTATGGACACACATGCATCGTTGCGTACGTGCATGCGTACATGTTCATGTATTTGCTACAAAACAAGCATACGCTCAAATACAACTCATCGTACACAGAGTAGCTGTGTCATGCGGCCTGATTCCTCGGCATGCACCGGCCATGTAAGGTTCGGGGCGATGCGGTCTCTGCTTCGCTGTTGATCTCGGCTCGTGCGCAGTGTTTCGGCTCCGCTTTGTTGGGTTTGGGATTGACGGGTGCGGGTTTCAAGGGGCCGCGGCTTGAAGAGAAACAGGGAGAGAGAGAGAGAGAGAGAGCCCTGCACCACAACCCTGGCGAAAGAAAGAAAGAGAAAGAAAGAGAGCGAGGTTTTGAAGCGAACAGGAATAGGGAAAAGTACAGTCGCTACAAACGTCATTCAGATCGATCTCTCTCTCTCTCTCTCTCCCTGTCCCGTTCCGACTCTGAGTTTGTTTGGGTTCTGCCGTAGCTATGCACCGAAGACGACTCTGTTGCCTCTCCCAGGTTGGAGGCTGCGGAGGATGGCGGTTACACTCCATTGCTCGTGGCCTGCGCGAAGGTGGGGCTTCAGCAGGTTGCCCATCCTTGCCAGCCTTCCGTAGAAGGTAGGGGCCTTGTTAATTAGCATGGGGTTTTGGGCCCCTTTATAGTATATTTATAATAAGGAAGCCTAACAGTCGTTTAGGTAACTATTTATAGGCTTCTACATTAAGGGGCATGGACGCTGAAATCACCTAGTTGGAATCTCGCGCCTTAGCAGACAGGCAATGTGGATTGTTTCGGTGCAGTCCCAGCAGACAGTCGCGAGTCACTGCACATCTGCACGACACGTGGAATCGCTGTTCCGCACAACAATTCGAAAAGGCTTGGGATATCCGCCCAAAGGCTTCTGACTAGCTGTAGACAGCGAGGCCCCCTGACAGAAAGAAGCAGTCAAAACGAGCACGAGAAACATCGGAGACACCGTAACTCTGAAAAGATTTAATCCTAAACCCATTTAGGGGAAACCCTAAACCCACTTAAGCTTCGGCAGTGCTGGTTGACCAAGTCTGGAGATTCGAAACCCTCGCGCTCAAGAGAAGCCCCTAAAACTTTATAGAAGCCGAAACAGTTAGTAACACTATTCGCGCATAGTCCTTATAACATGTTGATTTTGATTCTTAAGGCCCCGATATGATTTTCCAGGGGTCGGAATACGTAGTCACCAAAAGTATTCCCGGATTGTAGTCCCCTTTATACTGTCGCTTTAAGACATTATTACAGTCTTCTGATAGTCTCAATGTAACACAGTACCCCGAAAGCCTGTTCTCCAGAGGAGAACCGCTGGCCGGTTGCAGAATTGCTGTTGAACTCCTCTGCGGAGCTTGGCGTTGCGACCCACGGTCAGAAGTTGTCTCCCTTGTTTCTCGTCAGCGAGTGGCTTGGATGAGCTAGTGAGCTTTGAGAGCCGCGGTGCCTCAGTTTCTGGACTCAGGGTTGTAGCAGGTCACCACGACCATCGAAGGAAGGTTTGGCCCATGTCTAGGGAGTCTTAGCTCCTGTTCTAGTTATTTGGTCACAGTGCGGCTCTGGGCTGCTTTTGGTGTCCTTATATGAGAGGGACCTTACAGTGCAAGAGGTCTTACACTGATGGCTGTTGACTTCAATTCAAGCAGCGGCTGCTTGAATGCAGCAGCGAGCCGTACCATCAACAATTGATTCAGTTTGTCTTTGAACAGTTTTCCGAAGTCTATCGCAGCTAAAAGCAAGCCCCTCTTTAATTTGTTGGATCCGGCTGCCGTTTGCAGCGGCAGCTTTGCGAAGGGAACCCCCGGAGCAACTGTACATCTGAAAGTGGTAAAGTGTAGAATTGTAGAAGAGATTAAGGCTCAAGCGGGTGTAGTCCAAGTTTTAGGGCTTATGGGCGGTTATCAGTCCCTAAACCCTAGAGATTCGAAGCCCTAAACCCTTCCGTAGCTCAGGTAGACGTTAACGCAATTTAAAGGATGGTGATACGTGCCATTCCTACTGCCAAAGTGCGCATCGTCGTGTACCAGGAACCTCGCCTAGACATGTTCGAGAGTGAGTGCTGAAACCCTTCCGTAGCCATTTTGGCTCAAGGCTATCGCGGCCATCCTTGCCTTCTCTCCGACCAGAGCACCGTGGCCAAATATGGGGCGCTCGACTCCGGTCATGGTGAAGATCCGTGCTACGGCCTGCACCCAGGAGTGGAACGTCGTCCTCGCCAGAAGCAGACAGAAGAACATTATGTCGACCACCTCCACGGCCTCTGCGGTACAGGCCCAGGCAACTGGCACGGTGGCGCGCCAGATGTCTAATGCCACGGCGACTTGCCAGGGCAGCCACAACATCGTCTACGGCGAGGATGTGCTCTCCATTGGCCTGGCTGGTGCTAAGGGTCGCACGGCCAAAGCCAAGGGAAAACTTGAAGTTCCCTTGAGCAAGGAAGAAAAATTCATGAAGAAAGGATGGAAGAAGTAACGCGGCTTCAAAGAGACGATTCCTGCAGTGGTCAGTGGAGCAATGGTGTTTGCTTTTTGCACAGAGTCCACTGGTGGAGCAATGGTGTTTGCGTTTTGCACAGAGTCCACTGGATACGAATCGTGTGTCTGTACACGACTCGTTGCACAGCGCCAGTTTGTTGATTTTCTGGACTACTGCAGTGGCTAGTGGAGCAATGGTTTCCGCACACTGCATGGGAATTTGGTTGACGAGTTTATGCGATGAATGTACAGTTTGCATGGTGACGCAATACAATGAAGCGGAACTGCATGATGCTGCATGTCTTCTGAAAATGGTGGCCCGCACGTTACAATACAGCCCTGCATGGTGGGATCAGTGCATGTGAAGAAGATGCCTGTGCTGCAGAATTTACAATATGTCGTGCATGTCCCTGCATGCTCGCTATACCAGTGCAAGCTGTCTGCCAAATACTGCATGTTTACACAGCATGACCACGCCTATGTGCATTACGATGACCACGAGCACCACGATGTCGGTACTACCAGAAACTTTTCTCTCGCAGTTCGCAGTGAATAGGTGCGTAGATTGACCCGTGAACATTTTTGAAACAGCAGTCCTACATGCTGCATGTTGAGGAGCAGTAGATGCAGGTCGCAATAGACTGTCTGCCTGCAACCTGCCAGTCGACATGGCCTGAAATGCCCCGGCCCGTTTAACGCACTCTGTTTACGATTTCCCTGGTTGCTTTGTTACTGGGCACTTCGGGCTAGCAAATACGTCGATAAGCAGGTATGTACATGTAGCAAGCT